AGAATGTAAACAGCAGCAGATGAACAAAAATAAAAATACAAAAGGCCGGAGGAAGGTCCCAGGCATCCCCCCACCCTGGGATCTCCCTGTCACCAGTGGAGGTCCCCTGGCTGCCCTACCCACCACAGCGACCTCAGTCCTAGGGGCTGCCAGACGCCGTCCCCATGCCCAGGGGCAGAGTTCGGGGCTCAGAACTGCTGGGCCAGCAGCTCACAGAGGTGGCGGGAGACGGGCTCCTTGCTGGTGCGCAGAGTCAGCCGGTACATCTGGGGAGGGGTGCACGGGAGGCAGGGAATCGGTTGTTAGAGGTGGGGAGACGTAGAGAGGGCCCAGGAGGAAACAGGAAGGGGACGTGGAGGACAGTGCTTCAAAGGGGACATAGGGGACAAGGGGAAGGGATGAGGCCGCGGGCAGGAAGGAGCTGCAGACTGAGCTTGGAGCACAGAGAAGTGTGGGAGCAAGAGGAAGGAAAAGGGGGCGCAGCTCAGGCTGCACACCAGAAAGCAGGGGTCTGAGGGGCAGGGCACTGTGTGCGCACCTGGGCCTGGGCGTTGGGCTCCAGCCGGAGCAAGCAGCCCACCTGCAGGGCCTTAGTCTGGATGATGCCCGCCCCCACGAAGTTCTCAGGGTTGGGGTCCACGTTGTCCAGAAGGGCGGAGCCAAACCCCAGGAGCTGGTACGGGGTGGGGAGGGCCGTCAGTGGAGCCATGCCCCGACAGTGCCGCTTCCCCCAAGCCCCACTTGCCTGCTGGGCAGACTGGAGCTGGCAGCCCTCAGGAGGCCCCCCATCACCAAATCCCAATCCGGGAACCCCAGGGGTGCCCCTCACCTTGGCCTTGGTCACCTCGGCGTCCATGGGGTGGTTGGCTTTGAAGATTTTCTGTGCTTCCTGCTGGGGTCTAGGAGTGCCAAGGGTCCAAGATGTGGTCCCGTGGCTCCAAGCACCCCACCCTAGGCTCCGCCCACCCAGGAAGGGTCAGTGATGGCCCCGCCCCACCGGCCCTCACAGGCTCAGCTGTTTCCAGCGCTGGAAGAAGTCCTGCGCTGCCATCTCAGTCGGCTGGAAGAACTTGTTGATGGTGACTGGGAGCTTCAGGGTGAAGGCTTGGGGGGTGCCCCCGTACCTGGAGATTCGGGGTGCGGGTGGAGAGGGTTCCATCAGGCCCCGCCCCATGCGGCGGAAGCCCCGCCCTCCCGCGGGGCGCAGGCCTCGCTCACCTGAAGCGCACAGACAACAGCGGGGGCGTCAGGAAGTCCCGCAAGCACTCGATGTTGAGCACCTGCTGCACCTGCGCCCCGCCGTCTACCTGCGCTGCCACGCGCTTAGTTTGCACGGCCAGCTGTGGGGTCGGTAGTCAAGGAAGCCAAACACGGGGACTGGGAACGATGGTGCCTCCAACCAATCCCCAGCGAGCCTCTGGCTTTCCCCAGAAACCACCCTTTTCTGTAGAACCCCTCATATGGGAACCCTCTGGCCCAACTTAGGGGGCCCAGTCACAACACTGGTTCCCAAATTTAGCCTACTACCTCCTTTTCAGAAGAATTACTTGGTGCCCCCTCCCGCCAATGAAAACCGTTTGTATTCTAGCCCACAGTCCAGGATCACGGTAGACGTCTGCTTCTGCAGCCCCCTGGATCCTTCCCAGCCCAGCGGTGGGGAGAGAGAAGGGACACCGTGTAGGGATGATGGGAGCTGGGGTTACACTTGGCAGAGGGGGAAGGCACCCTCTGCTCTTGGAGGGAGGGAGAGAGCGGTCTCCTGGCCTGGGGGGTGAGCCTGGCAGGATATGAGTCTGGAGGTCTCCAGGGTGGGCGACAGAGGGCGAGAAGTTCTGGAACTGCACCGAGGTCTTGTTGCCATAGAAGAGATACATGCGGCCTGGGGTGGGGGTAGGGGTGCTCTTTCAAACAGATTCTCCTGCCCAGAGACCCCCATGGTGGGCACTGCCATTTCCCCCTGCCCCGACAGCAGTCTCGGAGATTGCAAAGTCTAGTCAGACTGGTCCACCTTGATGCCATGCATGTGATGGCCTTCCGGGGATATCTCGTCTCCGGGGAGCCCCAAGGCTTTTGGCCCCAGCGAACCTGTTAGCATTTTCCCACCGATCAATTCTAACTGGCAGTGAGACGAGACAAAACAGGTCCTTAGGGCATCTGAGATTGCCAGTCTCTGGGGGGGGCGGTCAGCCTTATTTTCTCCCTCGGCCAGACCAGCCAGGGGGTCAGAATCACAGGCCTCCAGGTTGGTCGCTGCACTTAGCTCACCGCACCACCAGGGCCCAGAGGCACTCCGATACCTCTGCCAGGACATACCCAGGTTCTGCCGGAACTCTGACTTGACCCCAATCTGCAACAGCTGGTTCTCAAACAGGACCCCGTTATTCTTGCACACGAACCTGGGGGGAGGAGGAGGCTCTGGATGTCAGGGTGCCTGTCTGGGCCCTGGCTCATGGGCCTGCCCCCACCCCCACCCCAGGACTCACTTATTCAGTAGCTCATCCGCCTCAGGGATGGGGGGGCCCATGTCCTCTGGACCTAGGCTGGAAGTGGGAGGATTCAGATAGTGGGCCACAAGAGCCTGGGGACCCTCCCTGGGGCTCCAACCCTTTCCTGCCCTGCCTGGTACAAAAACCCGTTGCCACTGAGTGGACCCTGGAATCCACATCCACATAACCAGAGGACCCCGAAATCCTGCTGGCAGTTCTTTCTCATGGCTGTGGGACCTCAGCCCCACCCACCACCACCAGGGTCACTCTGGGGCTCATCAGGAACCCCGCTGACAAGCCTCCGGTTCCCTAGCCCTCCCTGGGGGACACGAGGTCACCACCCGCCCTCGCAGGCCACCCCTTACTCAGCGGCTGGGTCGGCCAGCAGAGCCACGGGGCTCTCGGGGGCAGGCGGCTCCAGCTCGCTGGGCCGTCCATCCCAGAGCAGACAGAGCAGATAGGTGTGGCAGGCAGCCAATCCCAGAGAGGCAGCGAGAGGGCGGAGAGACAGGACAGGAGAGCAGGGCGGAGGGGAGAGAAGGAAGAGCCGCTCAGCACAGGGACAGGACAGAAGAGGGCACCAGGGCAGGCCTGGCCGGCAGAGGCTTGGGGACCAGCCAGTGGGGAGCCGGGCTGGGGCGCAGGCAGAAAAGGGGCTGGCCTGGGGTGCCCGGCGGCAGGTACCTGAGAAAGGCCTCCTCGGGCGTGGGTCCCAGGCTGGGCGCGGCGGCCGGGCCCTCGGAGAAGACATCCACCAGGAGGTTCCCCGCGCCGGTGGGGGCGGCGGGTGCCGCGGGGGGCGGGGCTGCCCGCAGCCCCAGGAGGTCGGCGGACGGCGAGGGCGTCGACTGCGGAGGGACAGCGCTGTCAGCGGCCACCAAGCAGGGCCACAGCGACTGCGGTGGGGGCGGAGATACTCATGGTGGGGAGGGGGCTACTCACCACGGTGCTGGGCGTGGGCTCCACGCCCCCATTGATGTCATTGCTACTGGGGTCCCTGCGGCTGTCATCCAGGGCGCTGGCCGCTCCCGGCCCCTTCTTGCGTTTCAGCTTGGCCAGGATGGAGGACTCGCGTTCGGGGAAGGGCGGCATCTCCTCCAGCACAGTGGCCTGCGGGGAGGCGCGGTCAGGATGTGAGCTGGAGGCGGGGGCCAGGCCAGGAGGGCGGGGCCTGGGATAGGCGGGTGGGCGGGGCCAAGCGCTGACCAGGACATCGGTGCTGGCCACGGAGCTGAGCGTGAGATACTCCACGGCGCGCTGCTGCAGCTCCACGTCGGCGTTGCGCAGCTGGGAGCCGGCACGCAGCACGCCCTGGATGGTGGCCTTCGTCTCGGGGAAGAGGTTGATGAACTTGATGTAGGTGGACAGCAGCAGGGCGCGCGTGGCCACGCTGCACAGGTGGAACTTGGAGTGCAGCAGAGAGAACTGCACTGGGGGGCTGCGGGGCAGAGGGGGGAGGTCAGAGGGCAGCGACATGCTCTCCCCAGCAGGGAGGGGGTCTATGACAGGATTCCCAGCAGCTGAGTTTGTGGAAGTGGACGCTGGAAGTAGACTCCCCCCAAGGCTGCCTCCTGTCTCCTCAGGGGCTTCTGGGTAGACTCCAGCTGCCCACCCTTTGGGTTAGCAGCCGGGTACTTTAACTGTCTGCGCCCCCCAGGGACACCCTGCCTGGCAACATTGCTGCCATTGAATTGAGTCCACTCGAAGGGACCCTTCAGGGCAAAGGAGAACTGCCTCAGGGGTTCCCCGGGTGGTGTGGTGGGTACAGCACTGGGCTGCTCACAAGGTCGCTGGTTCAAACCCATAGCTGTTCCACAGGAGAAAGATGAGGCTGGTGGCTGGTGAGTAAGGATTTACTCAGAAACCCTAAGGCCCCGATGGCAAGGGAGCTTGGGGCTCAATCTTTATGGAAGCTGACTGCCACGTTTCTCCCAGTGCGGTGGCTGGTGGATTTGAACTGCTGACCTTTTGCTTAGCACTTGAGGGCTTAACCACTGTGCTCCCACCACTCCAGCCGGGCCAGGAGAGGGACTGCTATTCTTGAGGCCCCAGGGCCGCAGCCTCCATCCCAGAGCATGTTGGGAGCCTGACTCCCATTCCTCTGACAGGTGTGCTGGGCAGTAGAAAGAATTTCTAGGGGCACACCACCACGGGCTCCGAGACACCTGGGGCACCCCAAGCCCAAGTTGCTTTACCTGGAGCGGGGGTCTCCAGCAATCAGGTTCCCAAACTCCCCAAGGATGTAACCGCCAACCTTCACCATGTTCTCATGACAGG